CTAGGACCCAACTAAACGATGTGTTTGTGATTTTTTCGGATGATTTATGTGCACGTTGACTAGAACAGAATTTTCAGTTCATTCAGAACGTCCACTCGAACACCTAGCTGATGAATTCCGACGATATCACAGGAATCAACGATCGGTCGGAATTCCAAATGGTCGAAAGTTGTCAAGTCTGGTCGATCGGAGTCCAACCCACATGAAATTTCCCTCAAATGCCATCACTAGCGTTTACTGACTACGTTTATTTATTGTTTGACCGCCTATAGAGCAGTCTGCTTATTGCTGACTATCAACGAGTGACAAAATATCACCATGCATGAAGCAAAAAGAATATCCAACTGAAAATCTTGAACTATTGGTGAGTGATATCAGAATCCATTTATCATCTGCTGACTATGCATATCATCCCCATTCTCATAGGTGTACAATTGTAACACGTATTATTCACTGCTCTAGGCTTTCCGTTGACAGATCATTCATGTGACCACTCGTGAGAAAGCATTTCGTATAACAGTTTGAGATATTGTTTGGAATATTGACGGTCGGTAGACCGTCACCTTGATAATGAGAGTAATGGATAATGACCGAAATGAATTTTGAACTGCTGATTAAAAGTTGATAAAAAAAACAACAACGAATTGATTCGTCAAGATCCACTGAAATTGTTTCACGGTTGTTAATCAAAGATAAAAGAATTTGCAATTAATTTTGCGCATAGAAAAACCCATCAAACAATTGATTATCAGTCAATGCGGGTGATGTTATACACTTGCAGAGTAGTAATAAGGGAAACTTGTTCTATCGTCGAGAAGTCAAACATATTTTCACATCAAGCAACGATATAACGATACTGTCATGCTTACTGACCTTCACAAGCAATTTATTTATTGTTATTGTTGTTTTAAAAAAAACATTCTTTATCAATTCATTACGCCAGAAACAAAAAACAATCATATCAAAAGATAAAATACTATGAAAAAACTAGTTTTTGTAAAAATTGATCATGTGAATAGTGGAAATGATATTAATAACAATTTGATGTGTATTTTAGTTGATCAACGATTGTAATAATACAATCGCAAATGAAAGGTAGGAATTCATTGATAGAGGAATGTTTCAGAAATGACAAAATGTCAAATATAATTGGGGTGATATTGGTGATGTTTCAATGCGATCAGATCCATGAACACATGATCACAAGATTTATGAATTAGCTTGCAAAAACTAACACAAAAAATCACGGATTCGATCAGGAGGGGAAGACAACTGAAACAGTGTCGTAGCAGATGATGAACTCAGATTCATCAACATATTGAAGAATGTGATTGATTTTGCATAAACGACGCTTTTTGGTTCATATAGACTCAGTGTAAGGTATAATGTAAATCTGGCATAGACATTGCTTTTTTTTCGCTTCACGGTGAAGATGGAAATGGATTGAGGAAGTTCGACAGTAGCAGATAAGCTACAGTTCGCAGAAGATGAATTTTTAGGTGAATGATAGGATGATAGGAGTCGACAGTGTTCGTGGTGCAGATATTGCCATATCATCGGAATGGTTGAATGAAATGAGCAACTGCAAACTTCAGCGAAAACGCTCATGAAAATTAACAGGCGAAAAGTGGTCTACTTCGAGTGATCAAATCATGAAAAATTTCTGCAAATTATGCAGTAACATGGTAACTCCCAAACAGATTCCCTTGTCAACGTTGAAAAGACTCAGTGATTATTGTTTGATAGCGAATATGGTTTGTCTTAGAGTGACAATAAGTTGCATGATAACAATGTCAAAAAATGATAATGATTAACATGATATATAATATCAACAGTAACGTCAATAGCAATCTTTGGAAGAACGATTTGTAACGGAATACTGAATAAACGTATATGAAAGTACTCTTGCAAAAGAAAAACGGAGAAGAGCGCAGTTGATCATAGATATTTGTCGTACGGAGATGACGATTAAATCGATGTTTAATGGGTTATTGAAGAGGAATGAAGAAACACCGCGGAATCGTTATCGTCGAAGAATGAAGGCAGAACGTATGAAAGAATGAGGATTGTAGACATTCCGTTATTAAGAGTTAAGACAATAACGGTTAGTTGCTGACCTGATTATTGGTATGATGATGATGATCGTGCTCATTTTGCCTTCCTTTCCTTCAATTCGAGTTGAGTCGATTCGCACTGCGCATCGTCACCATCACCATCATCACCATCTCGTTTCAAGGACCTTGAACAAGACAGAATCAATGATTCGCACTAATTCGCACCCCCTCCCCTTGCAGTGTTTCCGCTATTGTTGCTGATGTATTAATAGTTAGCAATAATAATGATCAAATGAATAATTCGATGATCACACCCATTGAAATGTCTTGCAAACTGTGTGACCTTGCTCATTTCAAGCCTTGCACTAAATGGTATTTATAAACTAGCAGCATCAGACAGAAGCAATCACAATTTGTTATATTTCATAAACTATTATATCAGCCTATTGTGCTCTTCCACTCACCCATCCAATCTGATAAAGGCTTAAATTATGGTGCCTGGATTTATTGCATCGAATACTGATTATCACTATGTATTGATTTGATGCTTTCGATCACTGGATCGTATAAGGTGATGAGATGAAATCCCTAAATGTTAGAACTTTTTTCGCCATGTGAAGAAATTTCACGATCTTGCTGCTATATGGCAGACAACTTTCGTCGAACGAAATAGCAGAGAATGAAGTCATAAATTCAGCGAAATCCGATGTCCCGTTGCGGCATCAATAAGGTTTTCGGTGATGGAGTGTGTTGAGATTGTGAGCGATTTTTTTTTTNAAAAAAAAAAGATAGCATAAATGAAACTTTTCAGATGAAACTTTTCAGGTCAAAAACTCTCGAAAGCCCCATCAAAATTATACTGGTGTATGTGTTTGAGTGGATTTCACGATGAGTGGTTCAAATGAATACTTTAATGGTTTATTGTGAAAATGCGTTAATGCGTTGGCAGCAGGAAATGCCCTGTTCAACATATTTCCAAGCATTTGCACAGTGCGATTCGCCTCTCATCGTTTACTTTCACTATTGAACATCTTGTTGGCAATAGCTGTAGAAACTTTCGCCTTTCACATGAACAGAAATAATTTTACGACAGAAGTGTACTTTCTTTTCTATAGGGTTCATTTTCATGGGCCATCAAGCAGTTCATATCGACAAATCTTACTCATAACGAACAACAAACCAAAACAGTCAAACAAAACACCATCAAACTTCTAAAAATGATTTTATTTACAAAACAAATATACTCAATCACTTACACATTTACTTTGTCGTGGATTCAATAAAACAACATATTCAATCGCTGATTACATTATTATTATTATTATTATTACCATTATTAACTTCGTATTTAAGTATAGTAACTATTCATTCAGTAGCATATGCTGCACAGGTTTGCATGTATTTCGCAACATTATTATTATTATTGTAATAATAATTATCATGATTATCACAATCATTGTCATCATTATTATTATTATCATCATTGTCATTGTCAATTATAGCGAAGCTTAAAGACTTAAACAGTTCATGCAACAGCAACCAATACGATGCATTCTGAATGACTCATAGATAGTCGACTTCTCGGTTTCAACTTCTGTGATTTATGAAAGTGAAGTCGATTTCAGTACAAAAATGAGTTTTTGATTCAATTTTGCAACCAACATCAAAATTCCACTCGAACAGAGCAAATGAATGAGTCAGCAAAAAATAGATTAATAACGGCGAATCAGTCGAACCATGTGCTGATTTATGTGTCGCATTACTGGTTGCTGTCTTCATCTAACATTTTTTTGGTTTCTTCGTGCAACGAAATAAGATTTAGCAAAATAAAATAAAAAATGAACGCAAAGCAGTTGGTTGCAAAAAGTGGCGAATGAAATCACAAAGCGCATCGAAGTAATACTTTGACAACGAAAAAATGAGAATGAAACAAAGATCATCACCATAGACTGCATCATTGCACCATTGCACGTTCTATGACATTTAGCTTGAAATTAAGAATACATGAAAATAAATAATGAAAGCTTTGATGATCATGATGATGGTGATGAATAAGACTACAGAAACTCTGCTTGACAATTCCAGCAAAGAGACAATCTCAGCACTAATACAGTTGTTGCAATTAAAACATAAACAATAGACAATATCGATAAATAAAAAAAAAACATACACTAGCTACCTTCAATTCAACGATTAAATGAAATCGCAGCAGCGTTGCATATGAACTAAGCTTAAGGAAATTGCGTTTTTTTTTTCTGTGCGAAAATCAGAAACAAATAATGCAAAATATTTTTGATGAAAACGCTTCATAAGATAGCAATCAAGTAAGCAAAACGGTCGGCAGTAATATGAGCACATAAGACGGTAACAGTGAGGATTGTATAGAACGTTGCGCAATACAATTGAATCATTTCAAGAGCAGCAGCTTCAGAGACGCAAATTTTATCCCAAACTTTAGCCGAAGTTATGTCGAAACTTTGCGAGCGATTCTGGCTGATCAACAGTGCTGAACAAGAACGTCTGGTGAATAGGGGAAGGGTGAGAGAAAGGAATTAAGAAACCTCAAATGGTCATCATTATACCCAGCCGAACGAGTAGAATCTACGTGATACATTCAGAAACTTGGTGGGATAGACGACTGATCGGTGGCAACGCTGGATTCTGCAATGAAGCGGTTCGAACGGTCAGGCTGAGAAATTTTTCTCGATGAGAAAATGCATTGCACCGCTCACTCTTTGCTTCTCCAAGCCATTCTTTTTGAATGAAAGCACAAAACGTTGTTTTGTTATTATTCACTGCTGATTGTGAGTTCAGAGGAAAAAAAAATTTTCGATTCGATCGATTTTTCATTGAATTTTTCACAAACTATTTTAGGTGACCACACTGACACACACACAAATGATTTGGCGCATCGCAAATATTAATCAGTCAGAGTCGTTTGAGTGCTTAGTGACCATATAAACTACGACTGAATGAAACGTAGTCGTAGGATCCTGACGGTGCACCAGTCTCACGATATGAGGACATCCTTTGAACACAGTATTCAGCTTGATCGGGCGGTAACTCTCGTCTCAGCTCATCGGCAGTAATGTAAGGCTGAAAACGGTTGAAGAGTTTAGTGGACAAAAATTGAGCAGCTTGAAGGTCGCTGTATGAATAAAACGAGAGAAGCGCATAAAGTGACGAAACGGAGACGGAATACCTTTCCGGCTGAAAGAACCCTGAATGAGTCGATCATTTGCTCAACGGTATCCGCATCAGCCGTTTCATGGGTCATGAAGTCGAGGAACGCATCGAACGGAACACGTCCCATACGATTCGGATCCACTATTGATAGGATACGATTCATATCTTGATCCCCCTTTAAATAGCCAATCATTATTTCAATTAGATTACGCGCTCTCAATGCCTAGAGCATTTTAGAACACAGATATGACAACGTTTCAAACAGTGCAGTTTTCAGTGAACACAATCCTATATGCATTCGTTAATCCAATTCAGGATGTACTTTATCATAAACACATTTGTATGGTGCGAATGGAACGTTGATCTGGAGGTGTCTCAAATATTGTTTGGTTGTGACGAAACGCTGCACTAACGCACCTCTCTACCAGGACGAATATTGTAACCAATCGAAATAAGACACGATTTCAGTTGCTCGCTGTCCAAGCCTTGACGATCCTTATCGAAATGATTGAACGATGCACGATATTCGTTCAACTGATCCTCAGTTATACCCTTACTGTCACGCATCAAAATCTGAAATTGAAATCATATCACAAAGCAATGATTGCTTCATCTATCACTTATCCACTAGAGGTTCAACGAGCACTGCTTTGTTGAGCACTTTGAACTGTCGAAAGTTTTTCATTGTGCCAAGGAATGAAGTTAATTGCAAATTTAAAGTAAGAGATGGAATTTGCTAGGAATCTTGCAAAATCATTTCGTAAAAGGAATCCGCTAAGTGATAGGATATCATAGAAGTGATTATCTAAAAGAATTCAATCAACCAATTTTCAGAAGCAATGATATGAATTGGTAATTAGCTGAAATAATGATGAATGACGGGACTACCCATAGAAAGTTTATGTTCGAATACGAATAAAATGAAATTATTCACTTGATTTTCACACTCGTTAATTGTTCGATTAATTTGAGTGAGCAGTGATTCCCAACCGACTCTCAGCGATTCCATCGAATAGCGTGCGGCACGATTCTCGAAGACGAAATTCTCTTGCATCTCTTGATTGATCTTTTCCAGTTCATCCAAATTTGGTTTATAGGAATACGTCTGAAAGAGGAAGAAGTGTGTGGGTGAACGACAGAGACTGCATTCTTTGCTAAGACAATGCAGAAACTTTGTCGAATAACTTCAGAAGTTTGCTATGAGCATACATGAGGCGCTGTGCCGCTTTGATATACATTAAGACTGAGGTGGTGTGATTTCATGGATTTGTTTGCAAAACTATAATTCAAAACTTTAAAATGTACGTGTTGTTTGAACATGCTTAAAATATATCAGTCAACAGAACGACACAAAATTTCAGCCTGAAATGAACCTGTTGTTGAATATTCTTAAGTTGAGTGATCGCGTTCTCTAGACTACCTCGTCCACCCATACCGATGCTTAAAACACTTTCCAACTGACGTTCTAGCCATGGACCTACCGTATTCGCTTTCTCAGCGAAGACTTGTCGCAGACGTTCATTACCTGCAATTAGAGAACGCACGGTACATGAGGCTTCGACAATTATCAGCCAATGTGCAA